ACAGAAGTTTTTAATTTGATATGATTCCATTTGTTGATTCTTGTTATTTCTTGTAAAATTGGGATTCTGTTCAGAAAGTTCTTGCCTACACTTCTATCATCAAGGGTTTTATCTATTTTATCACTCAGTAGATTATTTCTGTTTTTTTTTTTTTTTTTGGTTTTTCTCCGGTACCAGGAACCGAACTCATGACCTTGCGCTTGCCAGGCAGGCGCTTTTGCCACTGAGCTAAATCCCCAGCCCGATTATTTCTGTTTCAACCTTTAGATCTCTGATCCATTTTGACTTTAATTTAGTGCATGGTGAGAGACATGGGTTTGGAATCAGTCTTCTGTGGGTGAGCAGCAAGCTTTCCCAGCTCCAATTTTTAGAGGCTATCATTCTTCCAGTATGTTTTTTGGCACCTTTGTCAAGGATCAAATAGCTGAATGTGGCAGGAGTTGTTTGTGCATCCTCTATTCTATTCCACTGACCCACAGGCCTGTTTTGGTGAAAATGTCCTCCTGTTTTTATCACTGTAGCTTTGTAGTATAAGCTGAAGTCTGGGATAATGATGTATCTTGCCTTGCTGTTTTTGCCCTGCAATGCTTTGTTATTCACGGTCTCTTCTGGCTCCAAATATATTTTAGGATTATTCAGTTCCGTGATAACTTCCGTTCGTATTATGATTGTGGTTATGTTAAATGTGTGTATTTGCTTTTCGAGTAAGGCCAGTTTGGCAACACTGGATTTGCCTATCCAGAAACTTTCCATTATCTGATGCCCTCTTTGATCTCCTTTTACAGAGTACTGCAGTTCTCATTGTAGAGGCTGAACCAACTCGTAAGTATTTAATTTTTCTTTATGCAATTGTACATTGTTTTCCTAACTGTTTTTCCAGTGAGTTCATTGGTGGTAAACAGAAATGCCGGTACTTTTTATGTGTTGATTTTGCTTCCAGCTATGCTACTGAATGTGGTTAACTGTAAGAGTCTTTTGCTGGCATTTTTTATTTCTTCTACATAGAAGATTGTCACCTGCAAGTAATGATGACCTGATTCTTCCTCTTCCATACATATCCCTCTTCTTTCTTTCTCTTGTCTGATTGCTCTAGCTAATATTTCAAACACTGTATCAAATAAGAATGGTGATAGCAGACATTCTTGCCTTGTTCCTGATTTTACAGGAAAAGCTTTCAGCTTCTCCCCATTTAATATGTCAGCTGTTGGTTTGTCATAAATGACTTTTACCAGATTGAGATAAGGTCCTCCTATATCTATTTTCTTCAGGACTTTTATCACGAATAGATGTTGAATATGTTTTTCAAAGGCTTTTTCTGTGTCCTAATGAGATAATCATGTAATTTTTGTCCTTGTTTCTGTGATGTATTACATTTAGTGCACTGCAGAGGTTGAACCATCCCTGCATCCCTGTGATGCAGCCTACTTGGTCATGATTTATGATCTTTTTGATGATTTCTTGCATTGTTTGCCAGTATCCTGTTGAGAATTTTTGTGTCTATATTCATTAATGAGACTGCCTTGCAATTCTATTTTTTTGGTTTGGACCTTGTCTAGTTTTGAAACCAGGGTAATGTTAATTTTCAGGGACTATTCCTTCCCTTTCTATTTCACTAATAAATCTGAGGAGTATTGGTGTTAGGTCCTACTTGCCAGTTCTTATAGAATAGAGAGGTGAATCCACTAGGATTAGGGCTTTTCTCAGGTGGTAGGTTTTTTTCTTTAATTTCATTTCCTGTTACTGGATTTTTTTCAGGGTTCTTAAAATCTCCTTGGTTCAGTTTTGGTAGTTCATATGTATCTGGAAACTGATCCATTTCTTCTAGGTTCTCCAATTTACTGGAGTATGGATTTTCAAAGTAGTTACTAGTAATTTTAGGAATTTCAGCAGTGTCCATTCTGATTTTACCTTTCTCATTTCTTTTTTGTCTTTTTGAGACAGGGTCTTGCTATGCAGTTCAGGCTGGCCTTGAACTCACTTTGTAGCCCAAGCTGGTCTCAAACTCCCAACAATCCTCCCACCTCAGCCTCCCGAGTGCTGGGATTACAGGCGTGTGCCACCACGCCTGGCCTCTGTGGTTTTCTTCTGCCATTGATTTCTAGCTTTACTGTGCTAAAATCTAATAATATGCATATTTTACACATTTCTATACATTACAAATCAAAGTTTAGTAACAGGTGGATGAAAGCCCAAAGGAAAAAACTAATGGAGAAGTTCCAGCTATTATTGGCTTAAAGATGTCAATCTGAATTTGCTGAAATTATAAGAACATGAGCCCACAAATAAACATTCTTATAAAGTAGTGTTAAGATGACAGCTATACATCTGTGTGATATACATAAATTTTCAATGTATAGAAAATATATACATTAAATATACATAAATTTAAAATACAGATGATAGATTTCATTTGTGAACTATACATTATACATATTTCATATAGTATTATTGATATGTATGAATCAATACGTAATACAAAAACCATTGTTAATTTCCTACTACTTTGTAACTCTGTATTGTTTGTATTGTTCTTATGCTATTTTGTAATTGGATGTCTGTTTGTTAATGTTTTCCTTCATTTTTAAAATAAAAAAATTTTTTAAAAAGCTAAAAATAGTATGTAATACCATAAATCATATACATATTCAATAGCAGTGGAAGGGCTCCCAAATTTAAGGTCTGCATTTTTGTAAAAATAGGTATCACATAGCCATTTTCTTATTAGCGATGCTTAGCCAAAGAAGTTGGACTTGTCAAATTATTATGTTCCTTATACTTATTAGTCAAATTATCACTTGTGAATTTGCACTGAATCTCTAAAAAAGTTTAATTATGTGACTTCACTAGTACTTTACATAACCTTGCTGGCAAAGACAGCATTACAGAATGACAAATCTTTATTTTAAATTAGAATTTTTTTTAAAAAAAAGGGGCTAAAAATTTGCTGAGTCAGCATCAAATATTTCCAACACTCAACATGATATATATAATTTACAGATACTTTATTTGGTTTTTGGAATACTATCAAATACCACAATTTTTGTTGTATGAGAGTGATACTGCTATAACTTTTGTACTGCCTGATATAATATATATTTAATATATATTTATTTTTAAATCGCTAAATTTAACCTGATGGTATATGTAACAGAATACTGAGCATAGTCAGAGAAAGAACTTAAACTCTAATAGTTGTACATTTTAAAGATCAAAGAGTTAAACATTAGAACTCGTGTTTAAAACATAACAACAACAGGAGTCTCTCCTAGAACAACTAATTCCTGCTAATGAGCTTCTAATGATAAAGAAGCAGTCAGTGAATGTTTAGATACTGCATCTACTTTAAAAAGATTTTTAAAGTCGATTGCAAAAATTGCTATGGCCATCTTAAAAAATTAAAGGATCAGAGATAAAACAAAAGTTAGATTCATGATAAAGAATTAATTAAAAATGGAGTTCAAATTGGACACGGTAGTGGCTTGGTAAGTGTACCAGGAATTGTGCTATCCCGGGTGATCATACTAAATTTGTCAGTCCTATTTGGATACAGTCCTCTAAACATTTAATCTTAATCTAATTCTTCCTAATGTACCATTTCATTTGCCACATTGGTTCAGCTTTTCTACAAAGTTGTGAAACCACCCATCCTCAAATCCAGTGCTAAAGATCATCCATATCACCGCTTTCCAGTATGAGATGTGTGCAGGAGTCTGATCATCCTATGCAGTACTCACAAAACTCACACTGCTGAGTGACATGGAAAATCCTCTCAGTACTTTTTTCTTCTGAGTTATGAATGCTTATTGTTTGCAAACAAGTTGGTCTGCAAACACAAGCATTTGGCAAAATTTTGTTTTTGTTTGCAAACTGCAATGAGTGACAGACTTGACCACGACCATCTTTCGCACACAAACGCAGCCATCTTTTCCAAAATCATAGGACAAATTAAGACTGTGAACTGAGGTACCACTGTATTTATTTGCATGTATATTTCCAATACTATGTGGTAAGGGATATAATCATTGATGATGGTGGTAAATGCTTTCTTTTCAAAGGTATTTACCTCAGTAAATAGGAAGACAATTTAAGTGAAAGTAGGAAGTCAACAGTAAAACGGATATAATACTCACAAAAGTAATGGTTATAGTGAATTTCTCAGGTTTACAAAACTTTGATGCCATGTATATTTCCAAATTTGATTTGCACAGTTAGTGACCTGTACTAAACATTGCATGGTTTTTCTTATATGAGAAACCCAAGATACAAATAGAGCAAAAAACAGATACTAGGAAGTTGGGAGATCTTTTTCAAACAGGAAAGGGAATAATAGGAGAGAAAGGAAAAGAGAGATAGAAAAATATGGGATAAATAAGGACTAACAAGAAAAAATAGAAATAAAGCTTTTGTAAAGCTTTATTCTACCAAGAGGTAGAAGTAGCAGGGAGGGGTGAGGGGATGGGGAAGGAAAGAAGAATTAAGATTTGTTACATTTGTGTACAAACTCCCCATAAATGCTATCACTATGTACTGCAACCCTATACTAATAAAACAATTAAAAACTAGATAAAAATTCTCCAAGTAAATTCTAATTGGCTAAAAACAATTTCCTTTACATCATTAAAGACTATATTTTAGAAAGCTCTCCTATCCTTTTTGTAAATAGCAATGTAAGATAATCTTCTAAATATACATACTAAATCATAAGTCTAGCACTGTTTAAAGACCTTGAGATTTCATTCTAAAATGTTAAGTCCGTGTAAGAGTCTTAAAATTTTTCAAGAGGAAAATGGTATAATCTATTGAACCACGATATTCATTTGTATTTTTCTATAAAAACAAATACATCAAATACAACAACAAAACTGTGATCCACTTCTAGGGAAAATATAGTAGGGTGTATTTAAGCTATTTCAATTCTTTAGAAGCTAATGGACACAGAGAATGCAACCTGCCTTCAAGGAAGAAACCCACACGTCTGAGTCCAAAACAGGAGGCCTTACCAGAGGCTGCTGGGGCTGCATTGCTTGGAGACCGAGGGTCTGATTCTGGGACTGTGAGGACTGCTGGGGCTGGGGAGGCTGCTGAGGCTGCTGCATCTGCAAGAAGAAAGAAGATTATACCTTCAAGGGAAGAGGTTAACGCCGCCTTGGAATTTCTTTCTCCCTTGTCATTTACCTAATTCTGTTGCAGCAAAAACGTGTCATTTAAACAACAGGGCTACTTTCTAAGAAGTGTGTCATCAGGCAATTTTGTCAGTGTCAGATCACCGTACTGCGCACTTACACAAGCCTCGACGACACAAACACATACACCCGGGCTACGTGGTTTCTGGGTATCCGTGAGGGCATGGCCAGTCTGTGCGCGCACATATGCCAAACAACACGCCACTGAAGCACGAGACAAACAGAAGAGGTATACGTCTGCTGCCGATGAAATACAACGAACTGTTCTAATTAAACATTGTTTAAAGGCAAAAGGAGTGCATTCTAATAAAATCACGGAGAGTATAGTAAGGAAATGCATCCACCAGAAACATTTATGACCATTTCAGCTCATCTGTGTATTGAATATAGTTGTACATGTTACAAATTTGCGTGACTGGCAGTGCAGTGGGCTGGTCTGCACCAGCACTATCACAAACATTTTTGTGTTGTGTTGATGATAATGAAAGTTATGATCTCACCAGCTTATAGACATTTTTGAGCTCCATTACAATCTCGTGAGACCACACCAGTATATGCAATCAGTCACTGACCAAAATACCATTCTGCGGAAACTGACTCTGTACCTGCCAAACCTCCTTCATCCTTTAAGAGTGAGACAAAGTCTGTTTTCCCAGGAAGCCTGCTCAGGTCACTCCAACACCAAGACCTCCTCCTCTGGCATCAGTGTTCACCATCTACACCATCTCACACCATCTGGGGACCTCCTCCGTCAGTACAAACCCCTTCACATCAGCTGCCCCTCTGCATGTACGCTGCCTGTCTCACCAGGTCAGATGAGCACTGCTCAGTAGTTACGTTAGTCTCCAGGACATGTGGAGGTACCTCTTAGGAATTTTAATTTTTATTCTTTGAAAGAAGATATAGATTAGCTTCTGTGAGAAGTTCTGTCATAAATTGTCAGCATAAAACTAGAAATAATGTCAAAGACAAAGTTGGGTCAAATACAGAGCTCTTGGAAAATGCTCCCAAGTCACAGAAACAACAGGGTGGGACACAGAGAAGAGAAAGATAAAAATCAACTTTAAAGGCAACTGGGCCGGGGTTGTGTTGCACGCCTGCAATCCCAGCACTCCAAAGCCTGAAGCAGGAGGATGACCTTGAGTTCGAGGCCAGGCTGGGCTACACAGCGAGTCCAGGCCAGCTTGAACTAGATAGCGAGACCCTGTCTCAAAAAAAGAAAGAAAGGTGATTGCTTTCTCCCAATCACCGAGATACTCAAGTCCCTTTGCTGTTTCCTCCTGCAGGACAGGTTTCTTTCCCACTAATCTCATACCACACTTCATAGGTACCCCAGCCCCACTTAGACTCACCCCCTCTTTAATTTTTTTATTTTATTTTTTTTTTTTTGCAGTTTTGGTGATTGAACCCAGGGCCTTCTTAATGGGATACATGCCCAGCATTTTTTATCACTTTTTATTTTGAGACAAGGTCCTGCTAAGTTAAGTTGCCCAGACTGAGCTCAAAGTTATTTGTCCTTCTTTGTAGTATATAAAATAGGATCTTATTTAAAGTTGGAATGATGATATGAGTAGAGGTCAGCTTACTTTCTCATCAGGAAATCCTCACCCAACCAATCACATAGGGCAAGTTTGTGAATTATAATATGAAGCTGAACTGTTAATAATGAAGACATAGGGCATGGGTAAGCATAACTGCTTGTATTTCTTAAAGGGGGAAATTAGAAGTAAAATTGTGCTAATAGGAGTAAGTATTTAAGACTCTCAAGTATTTACATTAAGTAAGTAAATGATAGTTCTCTAGATTCTAAGAGAGATAAGAATAAGTACACCTTTGAATTATCCTGTTTCTCCAATTTCACCATCAAATCAGATCAGCATTAAAGAAACTTTTTTTGGATTACAGACTTCTAGGAAACTGGTAAAAGCCCTACAAGTTCAGGAGTTTTTTGGTCTGTATGTATATTTCATGTATATGAAATGCTCCATTAAAATTGCAGGCACCTGGTTAAATCATGACTGGAAGCTGAGGCCTACTGTTAAAATAAGGCATCCACATGACTCTCTGAATTTGTGAAAGAGGAAGGAGGCTCTGCAAAATACTTTCCCCTGTTCACGACCCGGAGACGCACAGAAAAAGAACTTTTGCTCAGGTTGAAGTAAGCTGTACCAGTTCAGCTACTAGTGTCAAAGACACAGGGCTCCTTGGAACTAGGCAATTAAAACCTAGTGGATCTTTTATCTTCTAAGACTGCTGCACATCTGCAGTGCCTGAAGGGTGACCCACTGCCCTCTTACCCTTGCTGCCTACCTGGAGGAGTCTCTGCTGCTGTCGAGCTTGTGGCTGTCTGGGCCTCATGGGCTCCTGAGGCAGGGGCACGGAGGGGAGGTTTGGATGTGCAGAAGTCAGAACAGCATCAATTCCTCCGGCCACCAGAGGGCTCTGCTGTAAAGCCTGATGGTTCAGTCTGGCAAAGAATAAGGGAACCTGTTTTAGGCCCATCTATACTATCAAAGTTTTAGTCAGTGCCACCAGCACATCACAGATATCCATGAAGAAAATATCAGTGTTCAATAATTACTTGTACAATTCTAATGGGGGAAATAGGAGATGCAACAGCATGTAAAAAGGACAGCAAGCACACTACTTAAGGCAGAATCGCAATCATATATAATACTTATTTAAAAATTCAACAGCTTTTAATAATAAGTGATATTAACTGGACGTTTACTTTGGAGCAAGCACTGTGCTAAACGTCTGTACTATTTATTTCATTTATAGCCCTCTGAGGTCAGCAGTTTTGTTATCCTCACTTTAAAAATGAGAGGGCAGAGCCAAAGAAGTAATTTAGGACCACTCAAAAAGCGAAGTGCATAGGTGGGATTTGATCCCAGACTTTTTTGAGCTATGAAGTTTATTGGCTTTATGCTATGAAGAAACTTATTATAAAAATAACAAATATTGTGCATGTTTTCCAAAATAATGTATTTTCTCTAACTCTCAGTGATTACCTGGAGCTGACATGCAGCCACTTACGGTACACATGGGAGCCATGCAGCTGTCCGCTACACTACACAAGTCTGCATGGTACTTAATCTTTCAGGATAACACTATCCAGTAGCTCTTACCATGACGACTACGCTGATTCCTGTCTCTGCTTTCCAAGAGGACAGCCACTAGCCATCAGGACTAGTTACATCACTTTTATGTATAGGGGCAACACAAAAATGCAGGGCTCTCTCATCAAATATCAGTAAGAGTATCAAGAAATAACAGAACATCAAGCCAAGAATGGGGCCGTTGTAAACACAGTCGCATGTATGACTGCACCAGCCATACTTCCCAGTCTTGCCCTGCTGGCCACATTTGGCTACTGAACATTTGTAATGTGAATGGGACAGTGGAAAAACAACAGGTTGAATACAATGCAGTCAGGCTAAATTTCAATAGCCACCGGCGGGTTGTAGCTACAATAATGGGCAGCACAATTAAAGCCTGTATCTAAGGAATCTGATTAAAACAGGAGCCAAAAAGAGCTTATTATGATCCTGTTTTACCACCCATCCCTGAGGAGAAACAGAAGCTAAGTTTTAGTAAAATTGTTACGAGTATCATGCACAATTAGTACTGACATTATAAATATTACAGCACTTATTACAAATTCTAAGAAGGCATTGATAAAAATGGTCAATAGTTTTTCTCTTAGATGGTTTGGTGAAAAAAAAGAGAAAAGATAAAATATTAGCGTACACAGACTAATATCATCTAAAAATACGCCCATACCATGAAAGAAGTGGGTCAAAACTACAGAAGACTCAAATAAAATAAAATGAGGCGTTCCTTATTTTTAGACCTTCCCTGCATCCTACTGAAAATGAGATGCCAGAATATAAAGTATATGCAAATAAGTAAGATCACAGACATCGTTATAATACTCCATGCCCAGAAGAAGCACAGCAATGTATCAGAATGTGAGGTTTTCCTATTGCAATCATTATTCCTATTGGCATCACCTCTGAGAACTAGTCAAGGGCTGCAGGTACGGCGAGGCCTGCTGCTGCACATAGCCACTGGGCTGCTGCTGAATCTGTCTGAGTCTTTCCATTAGCGCAGGGCTGGAGTGTGCAGTTGGGTAGACCCTGGAGTTGTAGCTGGGAGACAGGACCACACCACCAGCTTGCTGCTGGGCTGTTTGCTGCAAAGGCATCTGTGTTCCATACATTGTATAGCCCTGGGGCATGGTCTGCAGAGAGGCACAAGGGAAAAAGTCAGTGCTCCATTTCCCCAGCTAGATTTCTCATCACTAATACACATGGGGCAGACACAAACACAAGAGGACCTCCCTGAGATTTTTCATAGACCCTTATGACTTAAAATATAAAAAAGACTTCTGCACTAATGGCAGGCAGTCTAGCAAGGAAGCTATAGAATGAACTGGTTGCATAGTAAGTCACTAGAAATTTCAACTTAAAACTAAATGAATTTTCATTTGGTTACACTGGCTTTTAACATCAGTTGTTTAGTCTGAGGGAAGGGAATGGAAGGGAATGTTTCTGTACAGAAATAATTAATAATATCAATGTTCAACAGATCCCAAACATCATTAATATTTCCAAAATGACTCGAAGAGGTACCCATGCCCAATGTAAGTTAAAATGAAGTATACTCTCCCAATATGTGACTACACCCTTGGGTCTGACGGATGAACTGGTTACCAACAAAAGAAAACAACACAACTATTAATAGCAGGAAGGATGAGATTAATAGGGGGAACTCCTAACGGCAGGAACAACTGATGACTGTTCAGTACCCTCCTGACTTGCTTTGATCACGGCTCCTTTCAGTACTCCACCAGTAATAACTGGGACACTTACTTTTTCTAATCAGTATTAATATATAAGTGCAGTACCTAGTTCTCTAATACTTGACACCTTATGTAAAAGAAAAATCTGAGGTTCTATTGGATCATAAACTACAATTTACAGAACAGCATGCTGACTAAAGCAGAGCACTACTGAAACTGAAAGCACTATATCTTAAGGTCATTTTATGCTGCTGACTTGAAAGATGAACTACAATGAACTTTCAGCAGACAGTACAAATGGAGGGCTGCATGCCTGGGAGACCAAACATGATTCAATTTTAGCCGGGGATCCAAAATGAACTGCCAGCCCCACAGGAGTCTTGCCAACAAGAGCTCTGGATTCTGAGAGGAATAGGTTAAGAGTATATGGATGCAGAAATAACAAAATTGTATGTAACTGAAGATTATATATTAAAGCAAGTATTATATTAAGGCAAGTACACCCCTTTTGAGAATCTGCTGTGTGTACGATGCTATACTAATTCCACAGGTTGCCTTAAATCTTCACATCCTTTACCTTTTTTTACGGATAAGAAAACCAAACCTCAAAGTAACGTGCAAAATGTCACATGGTTAGGCAGTTACCATAAACTGTGTTGAGGTCTTATTTCAAGTCCTTGTTATCTACCATAATTTCTCATCAAAATTATCTTTGAATATGTCAGTCCCAGTCATGAATTACAACATTATGCATTATAACATAAGTATTGCTAAGACTGTTAAACATTTCAGTATCTGCCATCATTATTAATATAGTTCAGAAGTATTTAATTTTTAACTCAAGGACTTCCTAAAACATTTTATGCTCTTTTATCAATCCCGAGACTGATTCAGCAATTACTCCTAATGGTTCTTTGAAATGACAACAATGATCTATAAGGAGAAGCAACTGCTCTAGATCTGATAGGGAGTTGATATCTGGTTTATTGGCTTTCCTGCTTCAAACAAAACACATTAAAAAATCGAGCATGAGCTTGGAAGGAATGCGGTACCTGTGCCTGCTGCAGCCCTGGATACTGGGGGAGTTGAGGAGAGGGTCGGGCTTGTGCAGCAAAGAGAGCAGCCTGGTCCCCTGGCTGGGCCTGCAAAACAAAGCCCAGGCAAACTCTTGGTCATTACAGTAAGTATCTGAGTTGAGCTTTGGTCAACAATCCAAACAATGTAAGACATCAAGTCTCACGACATGAATACGAACTCACAGACTTTCAAACTGCATTACATGCTAGCTCTCATCAGTTTCTTATGTGTGTACAGAGTGTTGAGTTTTTCTTCTTAGAAGACTACAGATGCTCCCAAAGACAACGAAGACAGAAACAGAAGCCTAAGTTACCAACGGTCTGCACAGCAGAGAGGCTCCCTGGCACCCTTCCTGTACACTGCAGGGTAGAAATTCCCCTCTGGGAGAAAGGCATGATTCTCTAAGTGTGAAACCTGGAACCAGAGGGCTGTACTACCCAGTACCTATAAAAGGGAAAAACTGGTACACGCAAATGACATACAAAAATTTCATGACTTCTTAATGAAGTTTCTTCACAGTGATCTAAAAATTGCTTACTGAGGCATGTACTCAAGGGAAAAATCTGGTACCTATGACTCTGATAATCAATTAGACCAGTGGTGGCAAACCTGTGCCATGCATGCCGCAGCTGGCTGGCTATTTGTTATCACTGAAAGTTCTAAAAGGTTCACCATCACTGAATTAGACGACGGTCAATAAAAGACTGTAAGTCAACTGCAAATATAATCCTAAGTACATGTAAAATAATACCAATTAACATCTTCATCAGTTTTAATTTAGTACATGTCTTAGCCTTAGGTCAATAAATATATTGATAAAAACAGTGCTATGAAGTTTTTATGTTTTGATGGCGTAAGTTATTCTAAGGAAGCCTATAGCAATAATCATAGAAAGAAACCTGGCTTCCTGCCATCCCTAGGTTTTTGCAGAATTCGCAAAGTGTACAGAATGAGCTTTATTATAGAATTATTTTACTACTGTCTTACAACAGATGTTATTTTAAAATGGATTAAATTACAGTTAGATAAAACATTTTAATGTGTTTGGGAAGTACTGCAGATATTTTCAGCAAAGAGAAAGGGAGAAACATATAGCTTAAGAGGGAGAACACTCACACTAACAATACAGTGCCTGCCTGTGTGTGGGCCTCTCCTTATTCTCATTTTCTCTAAAGAGTTCTCCAGAGAAGAAGATCCCATGTTCTTCATACGGAACACACGAGGCTCAAAGAGGCTAGGCAGTGCGACAAGCTCACCCAGCCGGACAGGAGGGCTTAACCATCCAAAAATGAGACCATGGAAAATTAAATCAATCAAATCTTTAAATACCACTCTTTACATCAATTCTCCTTGACATTAACTCCATATAAGGCCCTGAAATATATTTGTGCGCTTCTTTGTGAGAACAGATACATGTGTATGATCATTTTTACACAATAGAAGAAAACAACTATTTATATGTAAGTTAGAACACTGGGATCAATAGGTAATCAACTGGTAAGCCTGTCTGGGCTTTGAGGGGAATGGGATGTGTTCTGTAGGACAGTTGCATGTAATTAGATAAAGCAAACTCTCCTAACTCTACTCCCCCTTTGCTTACTGAAGAACCTTGTGGAACACACTAAAACTTACAGTGGGGAGGAGGACAGACTCCCAGGAAAAAGATGTATTTGAACTACTGGAACACTCTTATTGACAAATGACACTAGAAATCATGGAAATTTAACAAATATAAACAAACTTATTTTTCTACATAAAATATCACAAAAACTAACATTCAAGGAAAGGGACTATAACTTTAAAAGCAGCAAGGAGAAAGAAATAAAAAAATTGAGATACAGTTTTGACATGCTAAAATTCACCTTTAGATATTATCTGGACATATTATATTCTTTCCCCACTGTCAATTTTTCCTAACATATTACTTAAGTGCAGCAGGAAATAATTGAGATGTGCAATATTCACCCTGAGAAAATCACAAACATGCGAAGATGGGTAGCATGCCCCAAGTTCTCGGTGAAAAGCCTTGTCACCAGGGGTTGTTCTGACAGGAAAATACCTTTATCTCTCTGCAAGGCTGAAACAGATTCCTACCTTTGATTTTCCAGAATAACGCCAGGAATATATTATATCAATTTTTTAACATAATTCAACTTGTTGAGGGAAAAAAAAAGTTACTTAATACCTTGAAAAAGTTCACAAATGTTCAACAAGGACCATAATGTGGGAATGAATGAAAAAAAAACCTAAAGACTGAGAGTTGGACATTTTTTTAAGTCAGTGGGCACGGTTTTGGCTGTGTTAAACCAAGAATATGCTACATAATGTATCATCTAAATTGGATAGGCCAGGGTGACAAGGACAAAGGGAGATCATTAATCTCATGCAGCAATTAGGGCATGTGGTCACTTTGATTATCTGTTATTTTCTGAAAACATTCTAAGCTTTACTTCTTTGCTTAATTTTGAGGAAGGTTCCTGCAGTTGTCCAGGTTGGCCTTGAGCTTTCAATCTTCCTGCCTCAGCTTCCTGAATAGATGGGATTACATGCATGGGTCACTGTTTTAGTTATTTCATTTTTTTTAAAATCAGTTCCTAGCACAGTGTCTACATTGCAAATGCTCAGTAATTCAGACATATAGAGGTAAACTAAGATTTATATTTCAGTGTAAATTACTTTACAAAGTGCTGTCCAACTGTTTTGTAGTTTATAGATCCTTTGTCTGGAAAACTAATGTAACTGAATATTTAGCATCTGTCAAGCTAATGATTTCTTCTCTCTGCCTGCATGAATGTCTGGAAAGTAACTCAACTTCTCTGTCTTTATTCTGCTTGAAACAATGAGAAGCAACATTAACTTCCTATCTTTACAAATGGAAAAAAGATAGGTAAGGCGCCCCCTCTCCCCTAGTACTGGGATCATAGGTATGTGCTGCCAGTTCTGGGCAGAGCTGGTTTTGGATGGAATATTTGGGTCTAGCCAGGTTCTATATGATTTCAAGCATATTAGCAGGGGAGAATATAAGACATTTGTGTCCCTGCTGGAGCTCCTGTGGCTCAGATACCTGGTTTATATGCACTACGGGGATGATTTACTATCAAGTGGGACATTCTAAAGGTCAGACAGGCCGTTCTCCACTTTGCTACCCGAGTTAATTCCCACACGTGTCATTGTCATGCATTTTACTTTAGGTCTGCCTCTAAAAACAAAATATAAATACATTATATTTTCTACAATTTTCACTTCCTAAAAACTCCTGAAGAGGCTGTGCTGTTCAGTGTCAAGTCATCTTCCTAGCTTTCGCAGGACAATTCTCTTCTTGTTGCTATATTTTAAATGAGACAGGAAAAGAAAGGTTGACTCAAGCCTTTGCAGCGTTTGAATTTATGCATCCAGAAAGTTTAAAATTTTTGATAAATCAACCTCAAACTCATTTTTAGTTCTGGGTCTTGTTCTTGTCTATATTAGTAATCACTCCCTCAGTTAACTGAGTACATGTGAAAATCTATTTCTAAAAAAGGACTGGCTATACTTTAAATGAGCATTCAGTATACATTATAAGCAGCAACATTTCACAATTAGGAGTTTCCTGGACATACATTCAATTTACTAGTAATTATCTCTTCAGATTCTTAATTAGTAACTTGCAATCATTTTAAAGGTTGTAAAGAAGTAAATTGTTTCTGGAAAAACACAGCCAGATTTTGTGACAATTTCTGAAAACACTGATTTTAGAAAATTTATAAATAAAATATTAACACAATGCAAATCAATAGGAAGGGTTTATTTATGACTCCTACTCTGAAATAGTCTGAGTCGTGGTGCCCAAGACTAAACAACAGCTGGTGTGAATGAGAAGGCATGGTCATCGTGTCACACTAGCTAGTTCTGAATGCAGAACAGACACAGAAAAAAATTCTGTAATTTTAAGAGATTTGTTGGTCACCTCCATTTCATATTTCTGTAAGGTTTCACTTCAAATACAATTTTGGGGGGAATCAGTTAATACTAAATATTAGAACATACTGATTCATTCTAAAATAAACACATCTCAAAAAATAGTGCATCTTTAATACTTTAATAACATGTCCATAAATTGTGAATATAACAACATATGTAGCCATTATATTTCTAATATGGGAAGATGAATGTAACAACTGGTAGACTAAACATTCATTCACTTCTTAATCTGGGAGAACATTAAAAAAATAAGAAATGTAAAAAGGACAGCAAAGACACATTTCTACTAATTTGAATGAATTTTATAAAATCAGAGAAGCTTATTTTAAATATTTAATAAACAAAATATTTTGTCTGTAGGAATACTTTTTTCCAACAAAAGTAAATGACTGATGCAATTTGTGTTCCTCTGAATGCCATTATCATCTGAATAAATGCCCGTCAGCAAACATTAAGTTGTCTCCAAAATATTTTTAAATTATCATCTAATTGAAATTTTTAAATAAATAAAATCCTTACCTGCTCTCTAATATACCATATCAAGAAAAATTGAGTATTTTGAGTTAAGTTTGTGAACTTTTCTCTACTGAGATAACTTTTAGAAAAACTGCCTATATAACAAGTATTTCATAAGGAAAGTATTTTCAAGATTTGAATATGCAATTAAGGATACATTCACAAAAGTATAACGTTACCCATTAAAATGGCAGTGAAACAAGGTGACTTACATTCACATCTGAGATGTGTGCTCGTTTTTATTCTAATGCTTCTTGGGTTTATGTTGTGAGTTGGCTACCTGATAGAAACCTATAAGTAATTTAATGCAAAACATGCATTCTTAGCTAGCCCAGGCAAAGCAATAGAGGTGAAGTCTTATAACGTGCATGCACAAGACCTATGCTCAAAGGAAAAAAAAAATCTCCATACCGGAAAGAAAAAAGGAGATGAGGCGTTTTGTTAAGAATCTGGGAATAGCCAGTGAGTGGGATGTGATGAGAAGGGTGTATTTCATAACAACCACAGTTTTCATTATCTTGCATTGGCCTATCAATCAGCATGCCATGCGTTCCTCTACTGATGATGTAAATTACCATAGAGAGAAGCA